TTCGACAAGCTGTTTTTTTTCTAGTTGACTACCAAAAGCAAGTGGCACTGTTGCACTGAGAATGCTTTTCTATTGTTGTAAGTGAACAATTTTTTGTTGCCATTTGGTTGCTTTTATTTTCATGTATGGAATATGTTTTTGTTGCTCTATTGATTATTTCTCTATACTATATATGTATAGTTTGGTGCACAAATGTGATGATCTGCTTGTTTTTGATACTGAACAATTATATTGTGTAACAACTTGATTTTGTTCCTATTTATTAGGTTCTATACTGTGTGAGACATGTTTATGTTGCTCTGCTATTGATTTCTCTATATTGTATTTTGTTCCTGTTCGCTATGTTATACCGAACAATTGTGTTTACAAGAGCATGATTTTTTTTCCAATTTGTCCGGTTCTTTATTGTGCGAGACATGCGTTTGTTGCTCCATTATTGATATTTCTGTTGTGTATTTGTATACTCCAGTGGCAAATGTGATAAATTCCTTGTTTCTATTATCAAACATGATAAGTTTGTTGTATCTATTACCAAGCACCATGGAATATTATCGAATAATAACGAGTATGTAATAACGTGTTAAATGAATATTTATGAATAATAATCAAACATATTATATACAAATGAATTGCATTCTAATGTCATTTGGTATTCGAATTGAATTCAAATAATTGTAAATGAAGACTTCGAACCTGAGCATAGATACTGGAATTTGATTCAGTACATGTCCTAGCTGTGATGGTCTTTATTCACTTCAGTTGGCCATAAATGCATGTAACCTGTGATAATTTCATCCCAGTCTTGGGTATTTTTGTTTCTCTTGTCATATGCTTGCGCAAATGAATATGTGCATTTAACATCGTATGACTAGTTTTTATGTTAATTACTACATGTCGGTGTTTTCTTTTTTCATTTTCATGAAAAAAGAAATCTAGTCATTGTTTTGATTTTTTTTTTTTTTTTTAAGCCCCTCAGTTTATATTCATTGTAAATTGGAATAAGTTAGTAAGAACCACTGTCAACAGCAGATTGTATTGTGAACCTCCTAATTTGTAGAGTTGTGTTTCTCCTTCACCACCTAGTTTTGGTAAATATACATAAAGTAAGGGCTTTTTACATTAGTCCCTGATATCTTTCATATTTTGATATTAGTTTCTCAATTCTTCATATTTTGAAATTAGTCTCCTAGATTTTTCAGCGTTTTGAAATTAGCCCTCAGATTCTTCAAATTTTGAAATTAGGCCACCAAATACTCTTTAAGTGATATGAAATTAGTTCCTTCTGTTAGCACCAGGTTGAAAGATTTTGGAGACTAATTTTAAATCACTTAAAAGATTTGAGCAACTAATTTCAAAATATAAAATTTTGGGGGATTAATTTCATAACAAATTTGAGGGACTAATTCAAAATATGAAGATATTAGTCCCAAAAAATAATGGTCACTGTAGCAGTATTTTCCTATACCGGGGCACTATTTTCTAGCTTTACTGGGGGGCACTATTTTCTGCGGTCTTGTGAGCGGTGCAACTTATCGAAGTGATTGATGCAGTGTTTTACCATTTTATATAAAGATCTTTCAAGTTTCAGAAGTTCTTAGCCCCGCTCATTTCTGGTTTAATTAGTTTAGCATGATTAAAACTCATATGAGCATTTGACAGTTGATTATGTTCAGGTACCAGCTGCCAAATGAAATGACATTGTATATCAATATGCTTCGTTCTATCATGAAAAACAGGATTCTTGGTCATTGCTATAGTAGACCTGTTGTCACATAAATTTCTATAGTTTCCTACTGCATAAAACCAAAATGAAAAAGTACTTTATTAAGCCACAAGGCTTGTCGTATTGCTGCTACATATTCTGCTTCGGAAGATAAAAGAGCCAATATCTCTTGCTTCTTAGAACTCCATGTTATTGCTCCGGAATCAAAGCTAAAAAAATCAGTCAGGTTACTGTACCCCAACCTGCAAAAAATATAAAAAAAATAAAAAAGGAAGTCTTCTCAAACTGAATACCAATTTAAGCTCAAAATATAACCACGTTGGGGTCAAAAGCCTCGTTGAATTTTAAGCTCAAAATATAACTACGTTGGAGTCCAAAGCCTCGTTGAATTTTAAACCTTAGCTCTGCTCATTCACACCTCTAATCACAACGTCGCGCAGCCCCAAAATTCGGACAAATCAACAATGCATGACAAAAAAAGATGGTGACATTCTGAGCAAAGATCGCATTGTTCACAATAAAATACCATTTGACACGACTTATGTAACTCAAGAACTACAAATATAGTCTTATTAATAACTGCAGCACAATTTAAATGAGAAATGGAATTGATATGCGCTCACAATCAAAATTTTAGCTCGTTGCACAGAACAGCAGAGAAGTGCATTGGAGCCAAGCTCAAAACTACAAAAAAGGATTTACTCATTCGCATCATCAACTTAAAATTTTCTGAGCTTTATTATCATCAACTTAAAACTTTCTGAGCTTTATTAGGTCGCCCGCTGAATGAATCAGCTTGGCGCTGTCTCTTGCCATCGGTTTGTCTATTTACCTTGCTGCCCCTACCCCTGCAATACAGCAAAAGGTTGATATCAAACTGTATTATGAAGTAATGTAAAAGACGAAAGTTCATGAATTTGTGAAAACATAGTAATATGATAATAAGAAGGCAATGGGAAAAGCGAGAATGAAAGAGAAACCTGGATAGCCTTTTACTTGCTTGAAATAAAAGAAGAATGAACTCAAACTCACTTCCTTTTCTCTTTAGAAGAGAATTAAAAGAGAGGCTACAAACATAGGACCAGGAGGCAAATAGCCCCCAGGAAGCAGGGTCCTGCATCTATTCTATTCTTATATATATATATATATATTATATATATATATATCATATATATTGAGAAAATGGGAGAAACTTAGTACCAAGTTGCTTAAAGCCAACTTGGTAGTGATGTGCGCCTAATCTTTGACCCTACACAACTCAAGATAGAGCCGCTCACACCACCTTCAACCAACTCAATGTAGATGTAGTGCGAAAGAAGGCCACGATCACTACAAAGTTGTTATGAAGCAACTTGTACCAAGTTTCTCATTTCTCCTCTCTCCTCTCCTCTTATAGATACTCTTATATACTTAGTATATATATATATATATTACTATATATATATGTCACTTGATGTTGGACGTCCACTAAGTTTCTTAGCTCATTGATGACCTACTTGTTGAGCTAAATGGGGATGATCCGCTCCGCTTGAACTCCTGATCTAGTATAACCCCAACACACCAAGTTTGCGGGGCTGAAACCGCTCACGTTTGACCATTCATCCACTCGTATCCAATCTTAACTGGTTTTAAATGAATAGAATTTTTTACATTGCTCGACGGGGCAGGCGTCAAACCACACGACGGGTTCACCCTAAATTTGCGTGTGTTGCGGGTTTTTAGAATATGTTAGATCAACGTCAACGCGAACGGAATCATCCAAATATAGCTCAATCAAATGATCCCTCAATAATAAGAAACTTAGTGGACGTCCATATAAGATTGACAATATTTAGTTAATATATTATACGCTATATCATAATATATAGTATATAGTCATATATACCTATATATAGAGAGACGAGAGACGAGAAATATGCGGTTATGCTTGTACCCAAGCATAAATTTTGCTGATTTGGTAGTGGACTAGTGAGGATGGCCCACAATCCCTCCACTCATTCAGATAGTCCGGGACCACATGTCAATGGGTAAGAATAAGAAGTACGATGGCGGATATTCTAACATTTGACATTACACATAGATGAGATTATTGCCACTTCTACTACCAAACATAACTTTTTTAGTCATTTGCGTACCAAACATACCCATTTTTCAGCACACAGCACACACACTACTACACAAACACACCAACACACACACATTGTATATATATATAGTTATATATTATTTATATATATATATAAGCCGAGCCACCTTAGATTGAATCTAAAGGATCACATCTCAATAAATGGATTGAGCTAATTCAATAATGGATAATCTACTCTATTCAATATTATCTAAATCTCTCAAAACATCTACAAAATAAAAATCATAATGTTTGAATATTTCTAACATATATTTTTCATTCTCTTTGGTTGTGTTGTATTTTACTATCACCTGATGCATTAGTAAATACAACCAAATATGCCTAATTTTTTGCTTATATGTCATCTGAATCATATAGATCAAAATGAACGAAGTGGACGTGTATATCTAATTTTGAAGGTACATCCTTAGATTCAATCTAAGGTGGCTCCTTAGAATCATATTTCTCATATATATATATATATATATTCTATTTTTTCGTGCGTGTCCGCGCGATAGTTTTCACTAGTTACATGAATGACAAGTAGGATTTTTTTTCCAATGCTTTAGTCATGAAAACCACACCATCATGATGATTTCTTTTGCATGTGTTGGGGAATTTTACTCCCCGCGTACTACGATCCCCCCAACTCGGAAGCCGGCTCACAATCAAGAAGAAAGAACACCGAGATTTACGTAATTAGGTCGACCAACTTTGACCTACATCCACAGGGCAATAATTCAAAAAATCCACTATATATCAGAGAGAACTACAAGAGGAACCACTCAACTCTCGCCTCTCAATCTCTCAACCTCACATGCATAATCAACTCTCATTTTCTCTCCAAAAACTTCTCCTAACAATCTTTTGAACGGACAAAAACTGTGAAACTCTCTCCCAATGTTATAATCTTTTGCACGAACAAAGACTACGAAACCCTCACCTCTCGCACAATATTCTTAAATCAGGCTACGCTTCCGCTAACCTTAGATTATAAGAATATTGGCTCTCTCTCTCCTCTCCTTGGTTTTTCCTCCAATAATAGAAGAATATATATAGGGAAATCAAAACACTATCGTTAGCCTAACTTCCTAACTAGAATAGGATTCAAACTCCTAATCATGATGAGGCCCAATCTTCTAATCATGATAGATCTCTAACCCTATTTAATTATTATGAAGTTATACAAAGAATCAAAGACACAATTCCAACAGCATGTTCTCAATATGAAATAGAAGAGTTCTTTACTTGTTAACTTCTAAAACAATAGAAAATTTGTTTTTCTTTTGAGGTCATAATTATAACCCAAAGTATGTGCAACAATATGGTAATGCTAAATTCCATGCATCGTACGGGTAACAATTAATTTTTATAACACTGGAAAGCTAGACTTGCAAAGCAATTTATGCAGTTTAAACGAATAAAGAAGATTTATCAAAAAAAAAATTGAATAAAGAAGATAAAAACTTGAACGGGCTAAAAAATAGATTAGAAGATTTGAGGAAAGATGTTTACCTTCCCCTGTAATTATTTCCTTTATTTTCCCTGTACTTCTCTTGATTACCACGGAGCTTGCTCCAGTACTCCTTTTCTGCATCACCTGAATTCATACATGCAGAGAAGAGAATAGGTCAAGAAACCGAGCATCGCTAAACCTCAACAAAACCCATTTCGAACTGAATGATGGTGAGGAAGCTGATTAGCAGGTCCATGATTATGCTTAATAAAATAAGTAATAAAGTGAGTCAGACTACTGAAAATTGTTGTATAAAGGGTATGACACAAAATATCTCCAGACATTAGTAGCATGTTAGACAACCATGTGTATAGGCTACGGCCTTCTGAAGCAAAAAAGGATAATCATATGTATTACGGTACAACATCAATCATATTATAGTGTAGACTAGTTTACATACATCTGATCTCTCAGGTTGAAGTTGGATATTGAAACTAACTCAATTTACAAGCAGACAAGAGTTTTTAGATCCGGAGTATCACATTTTTCAAAGAACATATGTGGTCCCAAGCTGGTGGTAGTTTAGATCTACATCAAGTAAACTCTATCTATAGCTAGTAATGTTAAAATATTCTACACGAGTGAATTATAAGAAAATCATTTTACATAAAGAACAACAATTTTCTGTAGATCAATACCAACCTTGAAATTTCAATAATGAAATATCAAATGATCCCCGTCATCTTTTTCAGTTCACATGTATGCTCTGCAAACTAACGCTCAAACTAAAAGTCACATATTGAGCAGCTTATTGTTACGTATACCTGCGGAGGGTTTCACGTTTTAATGCCTCTCAAATCTCATTAGTTACTTATTAATCCCCTAAATCTTTAGTTTTCTTGCCATATAGTCCTTCTATTAGAGAAGCTGTTAACTTCTCTAACTCTAGTTGATTTAATGCTTAACCCAACAACTTAAGTTACCTTACTTAAGTTACCTTACTGCTACTCGGGTATACATTTCCCTCCCAAAGTTTAGGTTTAGAGGGAAGCTAGCCATGGGAATGACCTCAATTTTGGGTTTGGGGGGAGCATGGGAATGATCTCAATAATGGGTATTCTACCTAATTCCGTCACATTTAACAGTCATTAATAACACCACCTAACACTAACACGAGGGACGGATTGCCAAGAAAACTAAAGATTTAAAGGACTAATAAGCAAATAATGAGATTTGGGGGACTATTTGGCAATTAACGATGACTCAAAGGACCGACATGCAATTAACCCAAAAAAGTAAACCGGTTGCATAAGTGAAACTACCTTGGGGAAAAAAACAATAATAACTCTTGCACAATGGGGTGTGTTAAGAGTATTTTGGGTTTAGTCTCTCTTTAGTTTAGTCCGACATCAGTTAGGAACTTAACTGTACCATCATTTCGTTAATATAAATAGATAAGGAGAGGCTACTAAATAGCTAACTTCTTTTTCTCTAAATCCTCTCTGTACAAAACAACATGGTATCAGAGCTTAAACCCTAAACCCTAACCCTAGCCGCCATTCAAAAAAAACCACTGTAGTCGCGCCTCTCACTTAAACCCTAATCTCAAAAAAACCACTAACCCAATCTCAAAAACGCCTAGCGACCTCTCTCACCTGCTCACCGAAAATACCACTGCCTTCCAACCTGACGACGTGACACCGTTCTCCCTCCACCTGCCTGACAGTCGACGCCGTTACGTTCAAGCCTCACCTTCCTGACGACGATAAAGCCGCATCTCCAACATTTGTCGCCTAAGCCCGTCGTCTCCACCTGCCGAAGTCGCTTGCCGTTCACCTGTCGACGACGACGGCCGCCGGCCGCCGACTCCACCTGCCGACGCCGACACCGCCCTCTCCACCTGTCGAAGTCGTCGCCTCCACCTGCAATTTTTTTTAAGATCTGAAAATATAGAGATCTTCTAAAAAAACTATATATATCACTTTGCTTCCCTCGACATGTCAGCCCTCGAACTGATGAGGTCCCTCGTCGAGTCAGTCCTAGAACTGATGCGAGGAAGAGTGTTTATCTCAATTTGATGAGATATTCCACTTTCTGTTCTTGTTTCCTTCATGAAACACGAATATAGAGGTTGGCTTGGGTTTTGTGAAAAACAAAAGTCAGTTCTCTCTTGGGTTGATATCATTTCCGCGACTCCTTTTCTGAATTGGAGAACTAATCGAATATATGTCCTCTTGATTTGTTGTTTTGAGCATCTGTTTGTTTTAACATCTGTCTCAAGGAGGGTTTCGATTGTATTCGTCTGTTTTATGATGACCAGTTTGACTGAGAACAAGATTGCAGACCCGCTGGTCCAGACAAAAGTTTCAGAGATCTTTGCTGGAAAAATTACAGATCGAAAGTTAGATGACAACAACTACCTACAGTGGAAGAGAGTTGTTGAGATCTACGTGGCTAGTCGAGGCAAGACCAGTCATTTGTTGTCCAACCCTCCTACTCCACCGACAGATGTTTGGACATTGGAGGATAATATTCTCCTTCATCAGATCCTTACTACCATGGAACCAAAAGTACAGGACCTTGTTTTGCATTGTAATACTGTCAAAGAACTATAGACTTTTCTTCAATCTCTCTATGGCGGAAGCAGCAACATCACCAGAGCTTATGAGGTGATTCAGGCGTAATTCCGTAAGAAACAGGAAGACACATCCTTTGATGACTATTATGGAGAGTTCAACCGTCTAGCTGAGGAACTTCGACAAATTTTTCCAATGACTTCTGACGTCCAACAAATGCAGAATCAATGGAGCCGCTTGATGGTACTCACATATTTGGGTGGTCTAGATTCAGTTTATTCCTCGGCCAGGCCCCAGATTATGGGTAGTTCTGCTGTAAGCTCCCTTTCAGAAACCTATCATTTTCTTAAAAATTCTATTCTAGCAGCACCTTCAGCTCCATCACCCACCTCAGACCGATCAGCTCTAGCCACTCAGGGCATGTCTCCATCTAGTCGTAGTGGACACTTTGCTGGTCGTGGTAGAGACCGTGGGTATTCAGAGATCAGACGTGGCCACGGTGGCAACTGAGGTCACAAAGGACGACGAGGAGGTTTCCTCCAAGGAAATCCACCCGAGGATATTTCTCTGACTTGTAATTACTGTCATCAACCTGATCACATTAAATACAACTGCCCGGAACTTGAAAAGAAAAAGGCAAAAAGTGGTGCATATATGACTTCTTAGGACACATCTACTGAAACCGAACAACCGTCTACATCTGTTTTTCACGATGAACAGCTTCAACGTCAATTTGAGCAGTTCCAGCTATTTCAACAATACCAGAATTCACAAGCACAATCTTCCTCTTTCTCAGCTACTCTTGTGCGTGCAGGTATATCTTCTCTCACATCGTCTTCGTCTAAACCTTGGATTATTGATTCAGGAGCTACTGATCATATGACTAGAAATCGTAATATTTTGTCATCATTCTCTAATGCTTCTAACCATGTCATTCTAGCTGATGGATCACGCACAGCAGTTAGAGGTATTAGCAAGGTCATTCCTACTTCTAATCTTCCTTTGTCATCTGTTTTCTATTTACCTAGTTTTCCTTCCAATCTTTTATCCGTTAGTCAAATTACAAAACGTTTAAATTGTACTGTGACATTCTTTCCTACTCATTGTTTATTTCAGGATCTTGTAACGAGGAAGACGATTAGCACAGGACGTGAGCGAAAGGGTTTGTATGAGCTAGAGTTGGCTTCTGATCATGTGGCTTATACCAGTACTTTATATGCACTTGATTACCACTGTCGGTTTGATCATCCATCTCTACATGTTCTCAAAATGATTATGCCCTCTTTAAGTGGTATTTCCACCTTAGATTGTGAGTCGTGTCAGTTAGGAAAACACCATCGTGTGTCGTTTCCTAATCGAGTCAATAACCGAGCTACTAAGCCATTCGATTTGGTTCATTCTGATGTTTGGGGTCCATGTTCAATAAATTCAAAAATGTGATTTAAATATTTCGTTAGCTTTGTGGATGATTTTTCACGTGTTACATGGATTTATCTTTTGAAATCCCGTTCTGAAGAGTTTTCTATTTTTAAAATATTTTATTCAAAAATCATGACTCAGTTCAACACTCAAATTAAAACCTTATATCATGGAAGAGTAAGAAACAAAGTAAAGTGTCTCGTTCGAGTGCAGAGTCGAAGTATACGGCCATGGCTAATGTAACGTTAGAGATGATATGGATCAGAGATTTACTGACTGAAATTAAACTCCCTCCTGAGTGTCCTATGAGCTTATATGAAGACAATAAGGTGGCAATCCATATTGCTAAGAATCGTATTTCATGAGAGAACGAACATATTGAAGTTGATTACCATATAATTCGTGAAAAACTCATGGAGAAGATCTGGGTATGTATGATGTATACACTCTGGTTTGAAGGGGAGTTATTTTGGGTTTAGTCTCTTTGGTTTAGTCCGACATCAGTTAGGGACTTAACTGTACCATCATTTCGTTAATATAAATAGATAAGGAGATGCTACTAAGTAGCTAACTTCTTTTTCTCTAAATCCTCTCTGTACAAAACAACAGAGTGGAAGCTAAAATTTAAACCTGAGATAAAAGTCATCCACAACAACATAAATTATTGTCAAAGTATTACCACACTTAGTACATGGAGTATGATCACATCGGTATTGTACATGGACTACTATATTTAGAACCTGAATATTAGATTAGATCTGCACATAATCTTTAGAGATTTACCCACAGGAGGGATCAGAAGATTGATGGTTTCAAGTGTACATGCATAAAGGACATCCTCTGAGCATCCAAATAAACTAAGTTCTGATGCAATATTTTAAAGTAAATAAATCACAAACTAATTGAGATTTAAATATAATGATTTAAACAAAAATCTAATCTACTTTAAGAAGAAAGCTCATCTAGAAAGCAATGAGGATAAACTATCAAACTTATGATATTTAGATTTTGGGACTTCTACTGTGGTTTGCCGATGTGTATGGCAAATAGCAACCCATTTCAATTGCGAAGGTGGCCACTAAATTTCAATATGGATATTAACATAACCCTGAAAGAACCACACAAAATATAAAATGATGATACAAATCAGCATTAAAGCAAAGGGGGAGAGAACTTACCACATAGTGCTTCTACTGTAGCAATATGATTTTTGACAATGAAGCCGCCTTCATCGGTAAACACAGCTGCAGCACGAACTTTAACAGCAGAATCAGGATCCTCAAATCGGATGTATCCTGATTTCTCACTCATCCGAAAATCAACAAACTTCAAAAAGGACAAGCACCAAATTATATTTACAATCAGACAGCTAAATGAGAAAACAGTTATATGAACTCTTCCAAGTAACAACATGACAACAGCTGGATAAATTAAAGTGGGTTTATGTAGCAATCAATAAATACATTGGCCACCTTTCAATTTCAATAAATACACAAATGACTTTCAAAGTGGGTTTATGTAGAAATCAATCATTGGTCATTCAAATTTTTCACTTAAAACCCAAAAATTTACTCACATTCAAGACACGTGACTCATTTTGTTTGTGTTTAGGTCTGGTTAGAATACAAGTCACATATCTTGAACGTGAATTTTTTAAGGTTGGTTTTTGTTTCTTAGGGAAACTTTGGACGCAAGGTTGTTGATTGCAACACAAAGCCACTTTAAAGGTAGTCTATGTATAAATTGAAATTCAAAGATAGTTTCTTAGAACCACTATATTTTTATGGTGGTTTGACTGGTTTCTATGGAAACACCATAAATTAAAACAATATGGATGCTTTCACTACGTTTATTATTTAAATTGTAGAATACTAAGCAAATTTTGGGACCTTGGCTAACGATTTTGCTGCAAAAAATCATTTAATAAATTTAATTAACCTACAAATTATTATTTTTAATGTTATATGTAAGTTTGACTATATCAATTATGTTACTGGATACTTTGGATATTCCTCAGATAATGGTACAGATGAAAAGTGAACCCAAAGATATTATCAATGAGGCAACATAAAAGTAGAAAAGGGCACAGTAATGCTCCCAATAATATGTAATGAATCAGTAAAATACCTTAACATTTCCAAACTTTTGGAAGATCTTCTTCAGATCCTCTCGAGCAACTACATTTTCATTGTCAGCTAAGTTGGCATTCTTCTCTCCACCTTCCACTGATAAACCATTAGTGCCCTTAACCTCACCTTGTAAGGCATTATCAGCTTTTTTGTTGGTCTCTTCGATGAGATCTTCATTAACCTTTTCGCCATTTCCCTTTTCAACATGTTCTGCAGATTTTCCTTCATCATCAACATCATTTTCTGAGGTTTTCATTTCAGCAATCTCAGTTACCTTTCCCTTAGTGTCTGGTACTTCATTGTTGACCTCCGCACTCTGACCATTTTCTTCTATGGACCCTTCAGGTGTAATGTTTTTCAACTTAAACGAAACAATCAAGCCCTTCGGGTAGCTATCATTACAAATCACATCAAACATAAAAAGGTTATATAAGTATATCATTCAACGCAATGACTTGGAGTTTGAAGGGTCAAATTGAAAATAAGCAAAGGACTAAGTAAACGAATCTACCCCCCATTTGTTGAAGTATTATGAGCTTTTTCAATATCTTCCCACTTCTTTCTTCTTTCAGCATCAAAATCTTTTCTGCATTTACAATAAAATTCCATTAATAAGTCAAAAAGCTCAATTGACTCCACAAATCCACATATTATCTATAACTAATACTGGTAATCTTCAATCCAAGTAAAATTAACAATATGTGAAAAACACAAAGTTAACAGTTGAAAATGTTCAATTATCAATTAATTACAATATTGGACTTTCATGACTTATCCAATTACATTAAGCATAAAACATCATAGGAGATAGGCCACATAAAACGGTATGTCTTGTCTTGTGGGGAGGCGCGAAACGATTTTGATCTAGAGGCATGAAATCTTCAACGACTTGGAGGAATGGGTTCAAAATCCATGACGAAGAAGGCTACCAATATGAACAGTATGTGGGTCGTGTTCACGGTTAAACAGTAATTTTTTTTATGTGGAGGTTTTTTGACTGGTTGGATGGTGGGGATTCTTTTAGAGGGGAAATGAGTGGTGGATGAGCGAGAATGATAATTGAATGAAAATTTTAATAGGTACTAGGCATCACGGGACCTCACACCCAAGGACTTCACACCCCAAAGACACTTCACGTGCCAATAAACAATTCACATGCTCAAGATCAAACTCAATTTTTTTATTCATCAATATCTATTCCTCATGGAGGATTAGATTTCTTATTTATAGAAAAAGAAAGTAACTAAGCATATAAGTAAATAAAAATCTTAATCAAATCAAAACTAACAAAACTAAAAGATGCAATCAAATAAAATCCTAACTAAAATAGAAAGAGATTTCAAAATCAAATCCTAAAGAAATCCTAACTTTAAAAAATTACATGGGATTAAATCAAATATTACTAAAATTAAAATTATTCTAATAGATCTTAAAATCTTCTGATGGACGATCTATGATTGTCCTGCATCAAATCTCCCCTTGTTAGAGAAAATTCGACCTTGAGTTTTATAATGGGAAAGCGTAATATTGACTTGATTAGTGAGAAAAATTTTGTTGTAGATTGCAAAGTCTTCAAGATGATCTGTAAAACCTGATACTGAGTTGGTGGTGGAGGGTTCAGAATAACTAAGTCAATAACCAGATTATCTTGAAATTCACATTGCATAGTGATCTTAAGTTTGGATTCTAGGCTTAACTTGAGCTCTAGGTTTTATTCAAGCTCGAGCATTAGATCGACATGTTGCTTTGTTTTTTGTTACAACTCTTGTTTAAGCTTAGGCTCTGGATCTATCGTTTGATTTGTTTCTTCTGGCTGTAGTTCAGGCTCGCACTCTACATTGATTTTTTGATATACATCTGATTCTAGCTCACGCTCAGACTAGGGCTTTCGTTCTTGATTAAATTGTTAATTTTGCTCTGCTTTCTCGTCTGACTCAAGTTTCACATCTGGATTGAAATTAAATTTTGATTGAAAATCCACATCTGGCTAGGGTTGAGAAATTTGTGTTGGTTTTACTTCATGATTTAAAGAGAAACAATATCTTCTAGATGATGGACTAAAGTACCTCCTCTCTAAAAGAGCTTTCATAATTGTCCATGAACGGACATTTGAATGATAATAGTTTCTATACCACCAATATTTTGCCCCTCTTTCACCTACACTTAGCATATAAATACATTGTCAGTTCTAACATATCATAGATAGAAAATATATCTTCTATATTGAAAATCCAAACGTTAAATTCATAAGGCTCCTCATATCCATCAAATTCATAAAAGTAGGCTAGGGTACCAAAATTAATGGATTAAAATCATACCCTTGTGAAGGAGGTAGTGACATTTTACCCCTGATAATTGTGGATCCTTCGGCTCAGATACCAAACGATGGAGAGGCGTGAGGGTTCCGATCTGGAGGGGAGAAATCGTCGAGGACTTGGAGAAATGAGGTTAAAATTCATGACGAAGAAGAAGACTACCAAGGTGAACAGTATGCGGATATTGTTCACGGTTGAACAGTAACTTTTTTATTTATGCGGAGGTGTTTTGACTGGTTGGATGGTGCAGATTCTTTTGGAGGGGAAATGAGTGGTGGATGATCGAGAAGGATAATTGAAAGAGAATTTTAATAAGTACTAGGCATCACACGTAGGAGTCTCACACCCAACAGCTTCATACCTCAAAAGACACTTCACATGTCAATAAACAATTCACATGCTCAAAATCAAAATTAATTTTTTTATTCATCAATATATTCCTCATGGAGGATTACATTTCTTATTTATAGGAAAAGAAAGCAACTAAACACATAAGGAAGCAAATAAAAATCCTAATCGAATCAAAACTAACAAAACTAAAATATGCAATCAAATAAAATCCTAGCTAAAATAGAAAGAGATTTCAATATCAAATCCTAAAGAAATCCTAACTAAAAAGAAGATAACATAGGATCAAATCAAATATTACTAAAATTAAAATTATTCTAAGAGATCTTAAAATCTTTTGATGGACGATCCACCATTGTCTTGTATCAATATCTGCACCAGAAAACTGTTATTTGCAACAAAACAATTACAGATCAAGGTTTACCTAAAGCCAAAGTTGACATGCTATTACATGTTTTTCCATTTTAGTTCACAATTTCAAGTCATAATGCAGACCACCAACAAACAATCTGTGCCTATAAAAACAAAAGAAAAAAAATGAACAAGTCCCCTAACATATAAAAACAAAATTTAGCGAGTTAATAAAAGTTTAGGATTTAAATTTTCTGGTTATTTGCATAACGCAGAATAGGTGTTAGGAATAATCAACTTTTAACAAGTTTGAGCCTAATTATTTTTATATTGCAAGATTGCAAAAAATACAGAATTAGCTTAAAGATCGCATTACCAGTATGCAAGACATAAACATAAATATTGTTATTGAAAAAAGCAGAAATTAGCTTAAAATGGGGTTCTTGTTTACTTGGGCTTCATCTCTAGCTCCGCACCAGCAAAAACCATGCTTGCACTCAAAACCTTATTGGCATCCTCCTCTTCTGAAAACTCAATCAATGCAGTGCCACAAAAATATCTTTTATCACGAAAACGACGTGGCAATCTCACACTGTTCACCTGCAAGCATCCATAAAAGGATCTAAGACAATAATTTAAGGGGTATTATATTCTAAGTGTGTATCAATATGCATACACAATAGGTAAATCCCAATTAAGGTCTAAGTGTGTATCAATATGCATACACAATAGGTAAATCCCAATTAAGGTCGTAAAAGTAACTGACAGTTAAAGAAGTTGGTAATAAGCAAATGAGACATGTAAAGCAGAAATTGAAATCCATAAAGAACAAATCATGTAATTCTAAGAGCATATCACATATAATACATGCCCAACTATGCTGTGAAGGTAAGGACATGGGACATAGATACAGGGGACATAGTTGCAAGGACACACAAGATCTTTGAAAACTTGGATGCTGCGACGCCCCTGGTTTCACACATTGCTGCAGTTCAAAGTAAACCCAGATATGTCAAACCATTCAAGCACTCTCCACTGTGCATAAACATGTTTCACTGTCACAATTGCTATAACTCTAGCAGAAACAAATTATAAAATAGAAAGGGTACAAACAGATACAACAAAGATGAAAATATACGGAACACAATGTAGATAAAAGACATCCAACAGTATCAATATGTTCCAACAGAAGAAAAGATGGTACATCTGATAAACTAAAATAAATATAATGTATCTCTAACACATAAGAGTCAACTAAAAAATACATAGGCACTCAACCTCTAAATGAAACACATCTAAAAGAGTTAAAACAAAATATAATAGACTGTTATGGAGTACTAACTAACTATCTATACATGACGAAAATCTATACTCTGTCCCCGTCGACCTGCGGCTCTCCGAACCCCTGACTCGCTATTTGAAAAAAATAAAAACGAGCGTTAAAACGCTAGCGAGAATATCTCCACCACCCCAGGGGGAAGGGGTTAGGTGTATATAAAAATACTAATCATAACATATATAAATATATAAATCATATATCCTGAACTGAGAGTAGTTAAGATTTAGAAATCCACAAAACGAGATGAGTACATCGAGCGAAATAATCCAAACAAGACAATCCTCATATATATACCATGTATCTCAAATTGTGGATCGCTAAATATCAACTCTAAATCCTATAAATAATTAGTCAACAAAGAAAAATACACCATCAACATCTCATCCAAAACAAGTCGTATTGTAGTATCTCACGCTACCCTTGGTAGGTGGCACGGAAACAAGTGTAAAATCCTATGAAAGCCTCGTCAAGTATACACCGCCATATAAAAATGTCAAATATTAGACTATGTTCACAAATAGTACTCGTCTGAGTTCTAGGCTTCCTAAATATGTATAGTGTAGTTGTCTGTAGTATTATGCAGCTCACAGACTATCACACTCGGAGTACAGTCGCCCATTATATCATACGATACACGAACATGCACACTCAATCAACGAAACAATGATGCATCACGGAGTGTAGTCGCCTGTATTCTCATGCGGTGCACGGACTAACGCACTCAGAGTGTAGTCGCTCGTGTTCTCATTGCGGCGCATGGACTAACGCACTCAAGCATCCGCAACTATCGTAAACCGAAACAATCATCACTCCCTATCGTGACACACAAAAAAGTATTAGACTAAGTACTACCCAAAAGCTCGTGTGTGCTCAAACTCAATACATGCACTCTCATGGTCACGCACATGTATCGATGTACGACTTGTTCTTCGTGGTTGCGATCAAACGCACGTGGAAAAACCCAACAATTTCATAACAGCACTAGGTCGGTCGACTGATGTTCTTCATCGATCGATCGGCGGAGACATGCACGAAACATGCATAAACATTCAGCCTTGATCGATCGACCGATATATGTCGGACTACCAGAGAAAAATCCACAGATTTGATGACCAATCGGTCGACTGATTATTTTTATTAGTCAACCGACCACAGGAAATTTTTCAGATCCCGAGAAAAATTAATTTTCGGTCGGCTGATGTTTCTGATCGGTCGACCGACTAGGTGACAGATCAAAAACGTTAGATTTTCTCTAAAATTCACCAAAATCGAAATTTTTCAAAGAAACTCATACATACAATATTGATTTACTATAATTAAGGTTTGCTCTGATACATGAAACCACAAATATAAATTTGAGTGGATCTAATAACCCTAACATGATTATATTTGTAAATTCATCATGAAAACAATTAAATTAGCAAAAATCCCATGTTAGATTTACTTCAAACCTTCAACCCTAATTAAAAAATGTTTCATAACTTTTAAATCAGAAAAGATAAACTTTTACATCATAAAGTTTAAGGGGGCGGTGTTATTGAGGCCATCGCCTCATGTGCGCCCCAGGCACGATGCGCTATAGACTAGGACAAAAGCGCCACACACCAGAGGCGGGCGCTGCACTCTCACAAGGCGCGCGCCTGACATGCGCCTTGCGCTTTAGCTGGGACGCACACTTCCATGCGCCCTACAACATAGAGTTGAGATCCCTTTACTTGAATTGGGTTTCGGATATAAGACCAGTTAATTCCTTAAACCCGTTTTTAAAAAAACCAATCAGTCATTAGGATTCCCGATTACTATATTTTCAGCGTTGTTCTCTCTTTCTTCTCTCTCACTCTCAATCGTTCGTCTCGTCCCTCTCTCATCTCGATTGCTTTGACAACCAACGGAGCCACCGGATAGGCTAGCCAACGGCGACCCCATCTCAGGCAACGTTCAGGTAAGCTTTTGCCTTTTTTCTTCTATTTTTTAAAAATAATTTACATGTTTAATACATCTGAGATATTTGTTTAATTCTTGCTACTTCACCCTCCATCTTTTCATGTTTAACCTCTAAAAAAAAGTAATTGATGATTTAGTATAATTGTTGCTAATTGCTACTTCATTCTCCAACTTTATGTGAAATCAGACAAGTGGTTGTATATTTCATATTTGTTCATGTTTAGATGAAAGATTCATACATTTGCTTGAGTGTCTCTAAATTACAACTTCAAACAAGTTCATGCTACCTAGCAATTAAAATGGTAACTAGAAAATTATGAACAATCATATTTATTAACTGTTACTTTAAAAATAAACATTTTATAGTTTAAATGAAAATACATATTTCTTATTTGTTACTTAAAAAAGTCAGTGAGCATGGTTTGATGATTTAGTAGGGGAAATTATATAGCTTAGTCTTTTTATATGTAAATTATAAATATGTTGTTTCTATGCTTATTCGTCTTATGTTGGAAAAGATATATTTAAGGTGTGTGCCTTGACTTAGTGAGTCGCACACATCGTTGTGTGCCTTACGCATGGTGCGCGTAAGGGGCCCTTGCGCCCCACATTGTACCTCGCACCTCAATAACACTGTAAGGGGGTAATCCCTACACATATAATAGGTTTTAAAAATCCAATAAAAACTAAGAAAAACGAGGATAGATTTGGAGAAGTGAAACTCGCCTTTTGAAAACGTTTTGATCTGTTACACGTGGAAGAAAAGCTCGATCCTTCTTCAAAAAAACTGTAGATCTCACCCTCCTCTCGAACATTTCTTCACAAATCTACTCCCAAAACAAGATAAAATTTTCTAGGGTTTTAAGGGTGGTGGCTGCTGCTCAGAACGCGAGGGATGAAGAAAAGAGGAGAAAGTCGGGTATACACACATATATATGTACAAAACAGACCCGACCAGAAACCAAGCAAAAACCGTCAGCTGTCAATCGGTCGACCAATTTTTTGGGTCGGTCGACCGACCAGCACACTAAAGCAGACTCGATAATTTATATATACCTGAGTACATTATCATACATATATATATATAATATATATATATAATTGATCTAAAATTGATTACAAACAGGTCCATTCATCCCAGAATGATCACCAACCACAAAAGAACTCATTCATCATTATTTTTTATAATATTTTTAAATTTTTGGGGTTTTACATTCACCCCTCCTTAAAAAAAATCGTCCCCGAAATTCAGCAAGTTATTATCAATCACCAGGTATGTGTAATATGCGCAATATTTACACTTAACATCTAGAATGTGAATACTCTCACTTAACCTCTAATTAAACAGAACTAATACGTCGAGTAAAAAATCCAAACAATGAACCCCATGTATATACCATATGTTCCGAATGATTAGGTGCTAAGTGTTAATACTCACATTCCAACGTGAAGTGTAAATGCGACTAAATAGATAAGATGAATATCGACGATATCATGACTAGCAATATACCTGCTCGAACAGGTGTGGATAGTCGTGACGCATATCCTCCTCACGTTCCCAGGAGCTTCTTCAACTCCCTTCCTATTCCACTGCACATTTACCAATGGGATTACTTCATTCCGGAGTTCCTTATCCTCCCTAGCAAGAATGTGAACATGTGTTTCAATTGTAGTCAAATCCGTCTGAATTTCCAAATCTGATATATCAACCACTCTCGGTTGTTCTTCGTCTCGTAAATGTTTCTTAAGCATCGAGATATGAAAGACATCATCATGCACACACAACATTGACGCTGGAAAGTTTAGTCGGTTCTGGACTGCAAGAATACACTTCCGAATCGACGCTATCTACTCTGAAGTTTGTCTCACGAGATCTGGCCCAAGCAGTAGGCTATCCTCCGGCTCTGTCCAACAAATTGGAGATCTACAGGACCTCCCACACAATGATTCATAAAGAACCATACCTATGATCATTTGGTAACTATTGTTGTAGGTAAACTCAATCAATGATATGTGATCCTCCTAACTGCCTTGGAAATCGATTACACACGCCCGAAGCATGTCTTCCAACACTTGGTTGATTCTTTCTGTTTGATCATCTGTCTGCGGGTGGAAAACGCTGCTATAAGCTAGCTGGTTGCCGAAAGAATTCTGCAAGCTCTAATGTGATGTGAATACTGAGCCACGATCCGATACGATCGTCTCGGAAACCCCGTGCAATCTCACAATTTCCCGAATAAAAATCCTTGCATAAGTCTTTGTAGTATGAGTTATCTTAACTGGTAAGAAGTGCGCCGACTTCGTCAAACGATCGATA